CCACACACATATAAAAGAAATTTAAATTTTTTAAAAAAAAATAATCTCAGTTTGAAAGTTAGGTATCGAGTCGGGTGTGGTTGTATCTTGGTTTGAAAATAGGGGTTGAAATTTAAATTTGAAAGTCAAATCTTCAATCTCGCGTCAATTGTTGGTTGTCGAGATCGGATACTGATTTGGAAGTTGGGTCTCAATTCCAATGGAGAAGTCGAAACCCAGATTGATGGATCGTATTCAAGTTGGATGTCGAAGTCAGGTCCTGTGTCGGATATCTAGTCTCAATTTGACTATATCGGGTCGAAGTCAGGTCCTGTGTCAGATTCCATCAAGAATGCTTAAAAAGTTTTCATAATATAAAACACAAAATTAATTCAATACAAATTCATCAAAAATAAAATTTTACAGATCATTGAATAAAACACTAACATAAGTTGTTAGACAAAGTGATGAAAGAAGGGAAAAACCCACAAAAAGAAGTAGGTATAAACCAAAAAATTGCCATGATTGTGATGATATCTTTGAGAATTGATCAGTTGAAATGATTTCTCTTTTGACATGTTGAATGGAGGAAAAAAAATTAAGAAAATGACATAAATAGTCCCTCAACTATAGGAGTAGGTCTAAAATGGTCCCTGAACTATACACTTAACGGATTTAGTCCTTCAACTATTCAAAAACTTGTCAGTTTTGGTCCCTTAACTATACACTTATCGATTTTAGTCCTTTAACTATAAACTTACCGATTTTAGTCTTTTAAGTATTCAAAAACTTATCAAGTTTGGTCTTTATCCATTTTTTTAATACAAATAGCTTAGGTTTATATTAATAGAATCTATGCCTCGAGAAATTAAATCATTTAGCAACTTTTTCTGTTGGTTCTCTCTCCGTTACTTTTTCTTCAAATTAACCTTACGCGAAGAACCTTAACCTCAACGATTTAAAATAAAATTCACGAGGAAAGAAAATATAAGTCATAATTTTATTCAACAGAGGATAAAATGAAGCATATTATTGTTACTAATGACTTGAATATGTTAAACTTTATTATAAAAAGAAAAAGTTATTATCCGTTAAATCCAAAGTTTGTACTCCAACGATTTCATTGAACAGAATTTGTTTAATTTTTCAGAAATGGTAATTTATAAAATGGTAGAGTTGCAATTTTTTAAACTTTTTTTAAAAATAGATCAGTTTTATTATTCTATTCATTTTATTTTACTTAAAGAAAATTGAGTAAATTAAATAAAATTCGCATTGATTAGCATGATGCATGATAAGTTTCTCGAACAAAAACTATCAAAGTTTAGGATAGTGCGTATTAAAAACCAAAGCTATTTGTATTAAAAAAAAATGGACAAAGACCAAACTTGATAAGTTTGTGAATACTTAAAGGACTAAAATCGGTAAATTTATAGTTTAAGGGACTAAAACCGGTAAGTGTATAGTTAAGGGACCAAAGCTGACAAATTTTTGAATAGTTAAAGGACTAAATCCGTTAAATTTATAGTTCAGGGACCATTTTAGATCTACTCCTATAGTTGAGGGACTATTTATGTCATTTACTCTAAAAAAACTACAAGGAAATTATAGTTTTATTTCATTGTTTTTTTGGTGAAGATCCAAAGTATACCTCCAAGGAATTGGCAAAGTTCCACAAAAATAGGGATGAAATTTGTCATGAAGACGAAGATACAATAATGAGTATGATTTCTCTAGCTTTTATAGATAGCTCCTGAAGAGGAGCATCGGAAGGAATACTGAAAGGGACACATGAGTTGAAGAAGTGGGCTTAAAGGTAAAAACAAAATAGAGGTAAAACCCCAAAAGTACGAAAGAAACATAAAAGTAAATTTCAAGGTGCTATATATGTATATATATACACACATGAGTATTCTAAATTTCAAGGTGCTATATATGTATATCTATACACACACATGAGTATTCTAGGCCGGCCTATGTAGCACCCTTAGAATTCAGAAAGTATTTAGACGGACTAAACAGAGTCCGATATAGTCAAAACAATCTGGAGGTACTAATATGCACAAAAATATCATACATGGACACTCAAACAATTAGGGGCAAATTTGATCAAATAAATGAAAAGAGATCATTTTTCAATCAAATTGGTTAAAGAAAGGACAAATCTGATCTAATAACTACTAAGTTAAAAGAACATTTTAACACTTTTTGGCATTTTATATCATGAATCAACAGGAGGGTATGGTTATTATTTTATAGACAGATAGTAAAAAACATTTCTAGTACCATAATGTTGAATCATGAAAGGGCATGTACCTTAATCCTTGCATTAATAAGAAACAAAAGGTTAAACTATTTTAAATGTTCTTGTTTTCGGAATAGAACATTTATTACAGTTGACACCTTTATGTACAATCTCCATAAAAACATCTCCAAAGCTTTGATTCGTGATACTAAAAGTTACTGAGCCAAGCTATTAAATTATTATTTTGCATCACTCCAGTAAGGTTTTGACTGAGGGGGTCGACGAAGCCCAGGGATCTGCAAACAAAGTTACCATCTTAATGCATTTTCACTAAAGTTGTAAGAACATGTGTGCTTACAAGTAACACTGCAAAAATATGTTTTATTCTAAAAGGTAACCAAGATATCGAAGAACAAAATTCGACCAAGAATGGCCTGGTGATAGACCCTCTGCCTCTAAAAAAAG